CATTATTATCTGCTTTTGAGGGGATTGGTTTTTGATTGCTTGGGAATTCGCATTATTTTGTGTAATCTGTCTATGCCCTTTTTTCGAGGCTGACGGTATGTAACAGATTTTGCGAGAACTGGTCCCCTCTCATTCCTCAAAAAACAGATGTTTTCAATTTTACATAATGAAATTCTCCTTTCAGCTCAAATATTCGCCATAGCATTTTCAGGACCTTTGGAATTTTCCGAACTTATCCTTCTCTTTTTCAGAAACTTGATAACATTGCCGACTTAGCGGCGGTTGGAAAAGACAAAGATGCCGCGCGTTTGTTGGTAGAAATGAAGGAAGAACGCAAGAAGCAGGAGGATCTGATACGAAAACAAGAGAAAATCGTAGAAGAACTGAACAAACATGTAGAAGAGCATGAAAAAGCAGAAAAAGGTGGGATGACTCTTTTTTTCAAAATTAGGATACTTAAAATTTTATTTTAGGGAAAAAGGCGGCAGAAGAGAAGGCTGCGAAAGAAGAGAAGAAGGAAAGTGAAAAACCAATTCAGAAAGAGGGAGAAGTGAAGAAAGAAACACCTAGTGGAAAGAATGATATGAATGCGACAAAACATGAGGAAAAGAGAGAGGCAGTAGATGATAAAACCAAGATTAACTCTGAGAAAATTAGAGAGGAAAAGGCGAAGGATATAAACCAAACTCCAGCAGTGGAGAAAATGGAGGACAAACCGAAAACAGAGCCCAATGAAGAGAGAAAAGGCTTCCAAAACGCAGTTAAAGAACAGGAACCAGTCAGATCGGAAGTGAAGGACATTCCCAACAAAGAACTTCCGAAGAAATATGAAGTAACTTCAGAAAGAGTAGAGAAGCAACCTGAACCTGTGAAAATAGTGCAGAAGGCGAAACCACAAAAGAATGCTTCACTTTCATCGAAACCTGTAGAAGCACAGAACGAGGAACCGCTGAAGAATATCGTACCAGTTTCAGGACTACGGCAATCAGAGACTCCGAAAATAGGTTTAGAAGCAGCGAAAACTAGTTTAGAACAAAATGTTAGGGGTGATATATGAGTCATGTAAAATCGAATCGTTCAAGTACTACATCTGTACTGAGGCGGGGTGACGGAGGGGGCCTAGAGGCACCGTACCCAATTAGAGGATGACGAGATTTTGATGCGGTTCAATAGTAGAGCCCCTAACTAAATAATCACCCAAGTCCCGCTGCAAAAGATGAATTCTGAGGCGAGAAAATTGCTCCAGAAGGTAGAGCGGCCAAGGTGGCTCCGCCCATCAAAGTGGGTGGTCTCAAAAAGACAAGTTCATTGTTGGGACTTCATCTAAAATCATATTTAATCTTCTTTTGCGAAAAAAA